TTAGCCTTGTACCGCAGAGAGCCCCAGATGGAATTTATTTCCCCAAGTAGGTTAATCTCATAAGAGCAGACATTAGGCTGTTAGTGTAGGACCTGCCAAAGATGGGGTACATTGATGTTGTGGCAGGCTTATGCAATGTATGATCATATAATATAACTAAACCCCCATTATTTTTGCCTAGATTAGGTGTTTTTAAAAAAAACAAATGAAATCTTTCAACATTGAAGTTGCTGTTTAGTGGATAGGTGAGTGCGCTGGATCTTGTGTAATATATATATAGTGACAATTTAAGCAGTTATGTGGTGACTTGTTCACTTGCAGAACTGTGCAAAAACATTCTGATCATTCATTCAAGACTTGAGGAAAGATGTGTATAATGGAAAATTAAACATGGCATTTACGATCTATAGTTTTGTCAATCAAAGAGATGACCTTAATAAGACAAAATGCTTGATCCATGCCATAACAAATACTGCTTTCTATAGCAAGCATGCTATTGTCTTACTGTACAATTACACAAAAGTACCATGTGTACAGGGTACTGCCGAGATAGGGTGCTTCTAGAGGGAAATGCATTCTTCTGCTTCACATGGACAGGTAGGGGAAGAGGGGGAATGCATGGCAGAGGGGTATTAGAGAGACACTAGAAACATGGGGTTATTGTATATAAGGAACATGATTAAAAAAACAAACATATAAGGGACATGATGGGAGATGAGAAATGTGGTGTACTAAAGCGGGTGGGTGGTGGTGCTCATGTTACAGAATGGGGTGTGCTCTTAGAGTGCTCCCACCATGAGCATAGTGCAGTCAAGTGGGACCACATAGAGGCATTAGAGTGCTAGATTGAATAGAGGGGGTGGTTACAAGATGCAATGTGCCAGAAGGGCCAAACCAATTTTGAGCAACTGTATTCTGCTATGATCTTTACAAATCTTTTGATTAGATAATGAAGACATAAAATTATCTTTTTGGGTTGCCCCAAGTAGTAAAGGTGTGCTTGAGGTACTGTGAAAACCTATAGCGGGAAAAAAACAAAAAAAAACACTCAAAGGTACTGTGTAGTCTTCCAGCTAACTAACCAGTACAACAAGGTCTAGTAGCTATTGTGCACGGAGTGTTACCTCCACATTCTAAAACTTTAGGGGGTGGGGGTGCCACCAGGTATATCTGCCTCAAATACCAGCCACCCTAGATACACTTCTCGTAGTTTTATGCATAATACATGATTGAGCAGAATGATGTTGTTTGAATTGGTTTGCAGAAATAGCCAGTAAACAGAAAATGAACACACTATCAGGAAATCAGTAACCCACAGATGTAAAGCTACACAGCATTCCATTTCCCAGGTGAGTACACCATCCCTGTTGTCAGTATCTTCGGAAGAGTACAAAAACTTGTTTAGTAAAGGGATGGAAGATAGGAAAATAAAACCTAAAAATCATTTGAATATAACATAGGTATTACAGAGCAATATAAATCGCCAGTAATTAAAGCAAATGAAATCACAAAGGAAACTTGAATAAACATAAGAGAGAAGATACCAGTGAATTATTTGCTAGAGTCCCAGAAAGTTTAGACGAACTACTGCAGAAGGCGAAAAACTGAATTAATTTGTGAAATTTGTGTGAGATGACCCTTTTTACTATGATCTGGCAGAGAGGGGAGTGAGAGCAGGACAGTGAATACAACATGGAGCTTACATGAAATCCAAAAGTTTACACGCAGTCCAATTCTGGTAAAAATTAAATATGTGGCCACATAAAAAGATGAGGCAAGGTTACTGCAGTACAAAGAAAATAAACATGAATAAATACAATTTAACTCTGTGCAGCTTGCACCGCCTACTGTTGCTCAAGCAAGGATAATACACCTTAATTCAAAAAGAAAAACGGAAAGAAAAAGAAAAATTAAAGCAGCGCTACCAGATGCGATAACGATAACGAAACACATATTGTTACAAGTGGTTAATTGAAGGATGCAGATAATAAACAATTATTTTGGGTTTCCCCTTTCCAAATGCATAATGTCCTTAAAACATATAGAAATGGGCGACCTGAAATGTTTGTTTATTATTATTGTGTCCTTAAATAAACCAACCGTGACATGGTGTGTATTGCATCTGGTAATCCTGCAGTTATTTATCCTTTTGTAGTGTGGTAAAAATAAAGACGTATGAGACCCTACGAACATGTATTTATTACACTATGCAGGGTTCCTAGATGCAATTTGTCTTAAACACAATTTGGTTTCTACAATTGTTACTTTTCTGGTGGACAGGGGCGTACCTAGAGCATTTGGCACCTGGGGCGGATCCTGTGCTTGGCACCCCTTGCCGCCCCCCCCCCAAAAAAAAATTAAAAAAAAAAAATTAAAAAACCTGTAAAAAATGTTTACAGGCAGACAGTCACACACTCAGTTACAGACAGTCACACACTCAGTTACAGACAGTCACACACTCAGTTACAGACAGTCACACACTCAGTTACAGGCAGACAGTCACACACACACACACACACACATACACACACAGTTACAGGCATACAGTTACACACTCAGTTACAGGCAGACAGTCTCACACACACACACACACACACACACACACACTTACTTACAGACAGTGGGATGGAGGAGGACTGGATTCCCTGAAGTCCTTCTCTGAAGCCTGTGGAGAAGCAGAGATTCCATCTTGCTGCATCTCCTAACAGCAGTGGGTAAGGGCCATATTAAGCCCTGCCCAAGTTTGCTTAGCTCCACCCACTTTTCCTCCGTGCGGACAGTTTATCAGCTGTTTGCTTGTGTGAGCTGTACTGGCCGCACGCCATCCTAACTACCATGGGACACTGTGCGGTCACAGCTCCCACAGCCCCCTCCAGCCAGGGCCGGTGCAAGGATTTTTGCCGCCCTAGGCAAAAGTAAAGTTTGCCGCTCCCCTCATGTGACATCACAATGCCCCACCCATATGATCTGCCATGTTAACTAACGCCAGTGCTGCAGTGCCACCGTGTTTACATTAAAAGGCCTGCAGGGAAAGGCTTTAGACACCAGAACCACTACATTAAGCTGCAGTGGTTCTGGGGACTATAGTGTTTCTTTAATGTGAGGTAAATTAGAGATTAGTGCCACAAATAATATGTTTGCCTACTTACAACCAGATGAGGATGATGATGGGCTCTAGCTGCAGTCTGGCTCCACTGGTCTGGTGTAGAACAGGCTCTCTGGAGGCGGTTTGTAACTGTGGTCACAAAATTCATAGTTCTGGGAGAACGGGAAGCAGCTCCATTTTTTGGGGGTCCTTTACACAGCTCAAGGTCTGGGTCCCAGGGTCCACCTTCATGTTCCACCAATAAGTTTGTTCACAGGGGGTGGAGTGTGTAGGGGATGTCCTGATATGTGTGTAAGGAATGCATTGTGTGAATCTGTGTTTGTATGTGTAAGAGATGCATTGAGTGTGTGTAAGGGGTGCATTGAGTGTGTGTAATGAATGCATTGTGTGTTTCTGTGTGTGTAAGGGATGCATTGTGTGTAACGGTTGCATTGCTTGTGTGTGTGTAAGGGATGCATTGTGTGTAAGGGTTGCATTGCTTGTGTATGTGTGTAATGCATTGTGTGTTTTTCTGTGTGCAAGGGGTGCATTGTGTGTGATGAATGTCAATCTCTCCCCCCCTCCAATTTCCTTCTCTCCCCCCCTCCAATTTCCTTCTTTATCCCCCTCCAATTTCCTTCTCTCCCCCCCCTCAATTTCCTCTCCCCCTCAATTTCCTTCTCCCCCTCAATTTCCTTCTCTCCCCCCTCAATTTCCTTCTCTCCCCCTCCAATTTCCTTCTCTCCCCCCCTCCAATTTCCTTCTCTCCCCCCCCTCAATTTCCTTCTCTCCCCCCCTCAATTTCCTTCTCTCCCCTCAATTTTCTTTTTATCCCCCCCTCCCAATTTCTTTTATCCCCCCCTCCCAATTTCTTTTATCCCCCCCTCCCAATTTCTTCTTTATCCCCCTCCCAATTTCTTCTTTATCCCCCCTCCCAATTTCTTTCTTTATCCCCCCTCCCAATTCCTCCCACCCTCCTCCCAATTCCTCCCTCCCTCCTCCCAATTTCTCAGGCCCCCCACCCAGCCCTACCACTGTTGTAGCGTGGCGGGCCCTCTATGGTCAGCGGGCACAGGGGCTTTGTTTCCTATCGGGCTGGGACCAAAGGAGAATGCACTCAGTGTGCACTCCCTCCCTATCAGTGAGGGGTGACGGGAGGGAGTGCTGGCGCTTCCCTCCTGTCAGCCCAGCCCTCTCCTCAGGCTTCGCCCAGGCAGAGTCTTTCGGTGACTGCAGCATCCCAGGGGCGTGCTCCTGGTCATGGCACCCCATCAGAAATGTTGGGGCCCCTGACACAGCTCAAGGTCTGGGCCCCCCGGTGCCTGCACCCGAGTCCGCCCAAAGTGCTGCCCCCCCCCTCCGAATCCGCCCACAGGGATGCAGTGTCTGCAGGACCGGTGCAAGGATTTTTGCCGCCCTAGGCAAAAGTAAAGTTTGCCGCCCCCCCATGTGACATCACAATGCCCCACCCATATGATCTGCCATGTTAACTAACACCAGTGCTGTGGTGTTTGCATTAAAAGGCCTGCAGGGACAGGCTAGACACCAGAACCACTACATTAAGCTGCAGTGGTTCTGCGGACTATAGTGTCCCTTTAATGTGAGGTAAATTAGAGATAAGTGCCACGAATAATATACTAGATTGCCTACTTACAACCAGATGAGGATGATGATGGGCTCTAGCTGCCGTCTGGCTCCACTGGTCTGGTGTACAACAGGCTCTCTGGAGGCGGTTTGTAACTGTGGTCACAAAAATCACTGTTCTGGGAGAACGGGAAGCAGCTCCATTTTTGGGGGGCCTTTTACACAGCTCAGGTCTGGGTCCCAGGGTCCACATTCATGTTCCACCAATGAGTTTGTTCACAGGGGGTGGAGTGTGTAGGGGATGTCCTGATGTGTGTAAGGAATGCATTGTGTGAATCTGTGTTTGTATGTGTAAGGGCTGCAAGATGAGTTTGTGTATGTAAGGGATGCATTGAGTGTGTGTAAGGGGTGCATTGTGTGTTGCTGTGTGTAAGGGATGCATTGCTTGTGTACGTGTGTCTGTGTGTAATGCATTGTGTGTTTTTCTGTGTGCAAGGTGTGCATTGTGTGTGATGGATGTCAATCTCTCCCCCTCCCCCCGTCAATTTCCTTCTCACCCTCCCTCCCTCTCTCCAATTTCCTTCTTCTCCCCCTCCCTCTCCAATTTCCTTCTTCCCCCCTCCAATTTCCTTCTTCTCCCCCTCCCTCTCTCCAATTTCCTTCTTCCCCCTCCAATTTCCTTCTTCTCCCTCTCATTTCCTTCTCTCCCCCGTCCCTCAAATTTCCTTCCCCTCCTCCCGTCCCTCAAATTTCCTTCCTCTCCCCGTCCCTCAAATTTCCTTCCTCTCCCCCGTCCCTCAAATTTCCTTCCTCTCTCCCTCCCTCAAATTTCCTTCCTCTCCCCCCTCCCTCAAATTTAATTCCTTTCCCCCCTCCCCCTCAAATTTAATTCCTCTCCTCCCCTCAAATTTCATTTCTTCCCTCCCTCCCTCAAATTTCATTCTTTTTCCCCCTCCCATTTCATTTCCTCCCCCTTCCTTTTCTTCTCCCCCTCCCATTTTAATTCCTTCCCCCCCCTCCCATTTCATTCCTCCCCCTTCCATTCCTTCTCCCCCCTCCCATTTCATTCCAGCTTCCCCCCTCAATTTCATTCTCCCCCCCTCCATTTGAGTTTATTTCCCCTTCCATTTCCTTCTCCCCTCCCTCTTTTCCCAGGGTTTCCACTTCCCCCCCGTCCCTCAATTTCCTTTCCTCCCCCCTCCCATTTAATTCCTTCCCCCTTCCATTCCTTCCCCCCCTCCCATTTCATTCCTTCTCCCCCTCATTTCATTTCTCCCCCCCCTCCCGATTCCTTCTCCCTCTTCCCATTTCATTTCCTTCCCACCCCTTTCAGCTCCCCCCCCCCTCCATTCCTTCTCCTCCCATTTCGTTTCCTTCTCCCCCCCCTCCACATTCCTTCTCCCCTTCCCATTTCATTCTTCCCACCCCCCTTTCCTTCTCCTCCCCAATTTTCTCCCCTTCCATTCCTTCTCCCCCCTCCCATTTCATTTCTCTTCCCCTCCCATTTCATTCCTTCCACCCACTCCTATTTCATTCCTCCCCCCACCTGACACCTGGCGGGCCGGCGCGCGAGGGAGCACTCTCCTCTGTCAGCTCCCTCGCGCGCCGCGTACTGATGCCGGAGCCGGAAGATGATGTCGTCTTCCGGCTCCGGCATCAGTACGGTGTGCGAGGGAGCTGAAGAGGAAGCACACAGAGAGTGCTCCCTCGCGCGCCGGCCCGCCGGGTGACTGCAGGGCCAGCCTCTGGGGGGCCCTGAGGTGGCCGGCTGCTGGGCCCCCCAGGAGAAGAGGCTGGCCCTGTGGGTACATACCGGGGTCGCAGGGCCCCCTGCGACCCGGTATGTACCCACTGAATGTGGGGCCCGGACCACCTGAGCAGTCCGGGCCCCCCAGGACCGCCGGGCCCATGACAACCGTTACGGTTGTCATGCCCTGATGGCGGCCCTGCTCTAAAGGATCCAGTGCATCACTTACTGAATATGCTTTATGATTCTCTGTAGATTAATCTTTGAGGAAATACTCCCTATTATGACTTATATGTCTCACATTATATGTGTTCTTTTAATTTGTGAAAATCTACAAATTGTTGTATGGGAATGCTAATTTTATTCCTTGTGACCACAACTATAGACTTCCTGTGTGTTGGGTTTGAGGTTTGGTCAGGTATGTAGTCTGAATCAAAATATAATGGACAAAGGTTGATTCCACGTTTCTCTATGGCTCTTAAACACTCAACCGGATTGGTCCATTCAAAGGTTTGCCATGCCTAACATGGTGTAGTATAAATAAGTTGAGTCTCTGAGAGTTCTGAGAGATTCAGGTGACAAAAGGTGATATGCTGTCCAGCCGGCAAGAATAAAACAATTGCATGCTATCAC